CTTCCCCGCGGGCTGGCGGGAGGCGCGGCGCGGCGCGGCTCTCGCGGGGTCCCCGGGCGGGCGGAGCTGTCGGAGTTGTTTGTTGTTTGTTGTTTTGTTCCCAACCATCCTGTGGTGTTGGGTCCTCGTTTTGAAGAGACGGTGCCCCGCGTTCCTCTCCTCTCCTCGTCTCCTCCTCCTCCCCCTCCTCCTTACACACCCTGTCGCGTTTCGTGACCCCATAGGAGCTCCACCGAATGCCCGAATGGCGGTGTCCACATGCGTCCGCGCCACCCATTTCGGCTCACCCCTCACATGCTTCGTGGGCCCATATGGAGCTCCACCGAAGGCCCCAGTGGCGGTGTCCACATGCGTCCGCGCCATCCATTTCGGCGCACCCATCACACGTTTCGTGGTCCATAGGGAGCTCCACCGAATGCCCCAGTGGCGGTGTACACATGCGTCCGCGCCATCGTTTTCGACGCACCCCTCACAAGTTTCGTGGCCCCACAGGGAGCTCCACCGAAGGCCCCAACGGCGGTGTCCACATGCGTCCGCGCCACCCATTTCGGCGCACCCCTCACACGTTTCGTGGCCCCTATAGAGCTCCACCGAAGGCCCCAGTGGCGGTGTCCACATGCGTCCGCGCCACCCATTTCGGCGCCCCCCTCACACGTTTCGTGGCCCCATAGGAGCTCCACCGAAGGCCCCAACGGCGGTGTCCACATGCGTCCGCGTCATCCATTTCGGCGCACCCCTCACAAGTTCCGTGGGCCTATATGGAGCTTAACCGAAGGCCCCAATGGCGGTGTCCACATGCGTGTGCGCCACCCATTTCGGCGCATCCCTTACACGATCCGTGCCCCCATAGAGAGCTCCACCGAAGGCCCCAGTGGCGGTGTCCACATGCGTCCGCGCCATAAATGTCGGTGCGCCCCGCGCACGTTTCGTGGAACTGAGGGAGCTCCACCGAAGGCTCCAGTGGCGGTGTCCACATGCGCCCGCGCCACCCATGTCGGCGCACCCGTCACAGGTTTCGTGGCCCCATAGGGAGCTCCACCGAAGGCCCCAGTGGCGGTGTCCACATGCGTCTGCGCCACCTATTTCGGCACACCCTTCGCAGGTTTCGTGGCCCAATAGGGAGCTCCACCGAAGGCCCCCACGACGGTGCCCACATGCGTCCGCGCCACTCATTCCGGCGCACCCCTCACATGTTTCGTGGCCCCACAGGGAGCTACACCGAAGGCTCCAACGGCGGTGTTCACATGTGGCCGCGCCACCAATTTCGGCGCACACCTCACACGTTTCGTGGCCCCATACAGAGCTCCACCGATGACTGTATTCACAACTGCAGTATTCTCAATTGCATATGGTTGGGCCCCTCGCCAGGCTCATTTTGTTTTGTTCCCAACCATCCTGTGGTGTTGGGCCATCGTTTTGAAGAAACGGTGCCCCGCGTTCCTCTCCTCTCCTCTCCTCCTCCCCCTCCTCCTTCCTCCTCCCTCCCCCCTCCTTGCTTCTGCCTTCCGCATGTCCATTCCTACACATCCCTCACGCGTTACGTGACCCCTATAGGGGCTCCACCGAATGCCCCAATGGCGGTGGCCACATGCGTCCGCGCCACCAATTTCGGCTCACCCTTCAAGCGTTTCGTCGCCCCAGAGGGAGCTCCACCGAAGGCCCCAGTGGCGGTGTCCACATGCGTCCGCGCCATCAATTTCGGCGCACCCCTCACACGTTTCGTGGCCCATAGGGAGCTTCACCGAAGGCCCCAGTGGCGGTGTCCACATGCGTCCGCGCCATCCATGTCCGCGCACCCCTCACACGTTTCGTGGCCCCACAGGAGCTCCACCGAAGGCCCCAGTGGCGGTGTCCACATGCGTGTGCGCCACCCATTTCGGCACACCCCTCACACGTTTCGTAGCCCCATACCCCTCACACGTTTCGTGACCCATATGGAGCTCCACCGAAGACCCCAGTGGCGGTGTCCACATGCGTGTGCGCCACCCATTTCGGCACACCCATCGCACGTTTCGTGGCCCCATAGGAGCTCAACCTGCTACAGTGGCGGTGTCCACATGCGTCCGCGCCACCCATGTCGGTGCACCCGTCACAGGTTTCGTGGCCCCACGGGGAGCTCCACCGAAGGCTCCAACGGCGGTGTTCACATGTGTCCGCGCCACCATTTCGGCGCCCCCCTCACACGTTTCGTGGAACCATAAGGAGCTCCACCGAAGGCCGCAGTGGCGGTGTCCACATGCGTGTGCGCCACCCATTTCGGCACACCCTTCGCACGTCTCGTGGAACCATGAGGAACTCCACCGAAGGCCCCAGTGGCGGTGTCCACATGCGTCCGCGCCACCCATGTCGGCGCGCCCCTCACACGTTTCGTGGCCCCAGAGGAGCTCCACCGAAGGCCCCAGTGGCGGTGCCCACACGCGTCCGCGCCATCCATTTTGGTGCCCCCCTCACACGTTTCGTGTCCCCATAGGAGCTCCACCGAAGGCCCCCACCGGCGATGTCCACATGCGTCCGCGCGAGAAATTTCGGCGCACCACTCACACGGTTCGTGCCCCCCTAGACAGCTCCACCGAAGGCCCCCGTGGCGGTGTCCACATGCGTCCGCGCCATCAATTTCGGCGCACCCCTCACACGTTTCGTGGAACCATAGGAAGCCCCACCGAAGGCCCCAATAGCGGTGTCCACATGCGTCCGCGCCATCCATGTCGGCGCACCCGTCGCAGGTTTCGTGGCCCCATAGGGAGCTCCACCGAAGGCCCCATTGGCGGTGTCCACATGCGTTTGCGCCACCTATTTCGGCACACCCCTCGCACGTTTCGTGGAACCATGAGGAGCTCAACCGAAGGCCCCCGCCGGCGGTGTCCACATGCGTCCGCGCCACCCATGTCGGCGCACCCGTCACAGGTTTCGTGGCCCCAGAGGGAGCTCCACCGAAGGCCCCAGCGGCGGTGCCCACATGCGTGTGCGCCACCCATGTCGGCACACCCCTCGCAAGCTTCGTGGCCCAATAGGGAGCTCCACCGAAGGCTCCCACGACGGTGTCCACATGCGTCCGCGCCACCCATGTCGGCGCACTCCTCACACGTTTCGTGGCCCCATAGGGAGGAGCTCCACCGAAGGCCCCAACGGCGGTGTCCACATGTGTCCGCGCCACCAATTTCGGCGCACCCTCACACTTTTCGTGGCCCCATACAGAGCTCGACCGGTGATTGTATTTACAAGCGCAGTATTGTCAAGTGCATATAGTTGGGTCTGTCGCCAGGTTAATTTTGTTTTGTTTTTCCCCACATGTTTCGTGGGGTTCTGGTTTCCTTCTCTGCCGCGTCGCACCCGCGTGTCCTCCCACCACACACCTCCCTCTTCCACTCCTCCTCCCTCGCCTCGCCCGAGCGCAACGCATGCACGGCACGTGGCACTTTCTCCACACCAGAAGGGGATGCGCAGGGGGTGGTCCCTCACCGCGGTCTCTATCCGTCCCAGGGTCGCGGGGCGTGGCAGGCGTGGCACTTTCTCGACGTCGCAGGGGGTGCGCAGGGGGTGGTCCCTCACCGCGGTCTCTGTCCGTCCCAGGGTTGCGGGACGTGGCAGGCGTGGCACTTTCTCGACGTCGCAGGGGGAAGTGCAGGGGGTGGTCCCTCACCGCGGTTTCTATACGCGCCAATGCCGCAGGGCCTAGCAGGCGTGGCACTTTCTCGACGTCAGAGGGGGGGCGCAGGGGCTGGTCTCTTATCGCGGTCTCTATACGCGCCAATGTAGCAGGGCCTAGCAGGCGTGGCACTTTTTCGGCGTCAGAGGCGGGGCGCAGGGGTGGTCTCTCACCGCGGTCTGTATACGCGCATATGTCGCAGGGATGCGCAGGCGTGGCGCTTTCTCGACGTCACAGGGGGGGCGCAAGGGGTGGTCTCGCACCGCGGTGAGAGGGGTCCGGGGATTTGGTTTTGAGCAAATTTTGGTCCAGAGGCTCCGAGGAGAAAGACATCAGAGAGAGGGGGCTGAACCGAACGGTCATTCACTGTCCCTGGGTGCGTGGCTGAAGTGGAATTCCGCGATGCGGAGTCTTGTTGTTGTTGTTGTTGTTGTTGCTGTTGTTGTTGTTGTTGTTGTTGCTGCTGTTTGTTGTTTGTTGTCGTCATCCCACCCACGACCCACCCGCGACCCACCCGCGACCCACCCCGCGACCCACCCGCGACCCACCCGCGACCGACCCCGCGACCCACCCGCGACCCACCCGCGACCCACCCGCGACCCACCCGCGACCCACCCGCGACCACCCCGACGACCCGCCCGCGATCCACCCCAAGACGCCCCCGGCGACCCACCCGCGACCCACCGGCGACCCACCCGCGACCCACCCGCGACCCACCCCGCGACCCACCCGCGACACACTCGCCACCCACCCGCGACCCATCGCCACCCACCCGCGACCCACCCGCGACCCACCCCGCGACCCACCCAGAATTTTCGGCGCCTGCGGCGGGCTTCTTTTGCATTCGTTCCAGGAACCTGCGACCCACCCGCGACCCAAACCGCGTTCAGTATACAAATCAACATTTTTCGGCGCCTGCGGCGGGCTGTTTTTGGATTCCTTTCAGGTGGAGGTGGAGAGCTCGCGACCCACCCGCGACCCAAACTACGTTCACTGAACAAGCCGACAATTCGGCGCCTGCGGCGGTTTTTTTTTGCATTCGTTCCAGGTGGAGAACCTGCGACCCACCTGCGACCCAAACCGCGTTCAATGTACAAATCAAACATATTCGGCGCCTGCGGCGGGCTGTTTTTTGATTTTTTCCAGGTGGAGGTGGAACGCCCGCGACCCACCCGCGACCCAAACTACGTTCACAGAACAAGCCAAAATTTCGGCGCCTGCGGCGGTCCGCCGGCTCGACGCCCGCGTCGCCCGCGCCCGCCCCCTCACGCTTATCCGCAATCGCGGGGGATATATGTACTGATACCGATACCGATGCCCTTCCCTCCAGGGGGCCCTCACCGCCACGGCTGGATCGTCTCGATGTCTCGTTGACAGCGCCCAGGGGGGGGTGGCGCGAGGGCGGTGGCTTCCTCAGAAGGCGGCGGCGCTTCCAAGAAGGCAGGCGCCTTCTTGGAGACCCTCTTTGCTTCTAAGCGAGGCCTCTTTTGGAAGGCCCCGGTCCCTTCTGAGAAGGCCCCTGCCTTCTGAGAGGCCGCCCCGCCCTCTCAGAACGTCGCGCCGTTCCCCTGTGGGCGCCGCCGGTGCTGTCCACAGAACGCACCCGGGAGAGGTCTGGGGGAGTGATTCGCGGCAGTGGTATATGTTCTTCGCTTCCCCACCCTCGGCCCCTTCTCTTCCAGAGGTCGGGCTCGCGCCGCCGCGAGGCCCCCCCCCTTCCGTCCCGCCGTGGAGCAGGGGGGGCCCCGGCGGGAGAGCGATCCCGGGGCGCCTGGCCTTGGTCCGCCTCCCGGAGCCCCTCTCCTCGCCACGGTGCCTGCAACGCACGCCGTCTGGGAGGTGGTCCTCGGGGGAGGCCCCTGGGCCCAGGATCCGTGTTCATCAGGGCCCCCCTTGCCCTCCTGCGGCTCCGTATTGTCCTCCTGCTGATCACTTCCGCCTTGTGTCAAAGCACATCGTGGTTTTTTAGTCCTTCTGCTGGTTGTGTGTGTGTGTGTGTGCTCCCAGCTTCGTCTCCTTGCTCCCATCGTTGTCAGTCTTGTGTGTTTCCTATCCCTTGTCCTCTTATTCTTCTCCTCTTCCTCTTCTGTTTCCGCTTCTTCATATTCTTCTGCGCCCTCTGCATCTCATTGTTTTGCTTGGGGAGCAGGCGGTGGTTGGGCAGAGGAGAGGGAGAGGGAGGAACGGGGGAGGGGAAGGAGGTTGAGGCGCTCGTTTTCGCCGCCACCAGCTCATCTTCGCTTTTTAGTCCTTGTCCTGCGGCTGCACCCATCCGTAGCTCACTTGCACTTGCGCTGGCGGCGCTTCACCTGCCAGCCTTCGCCTGGCCCAGCGAGGTGCAGCTACCATGCGGTTTCCTCTGCAGGCTCCGTTCGGTCGATGACTCCCGTCAGCTCCCCCTGCCGCGCTCTTCCCCCCACTCTCCTGCGTGCCTTTTCCTGGCCACCTGCTCCTCCTGCTGCTGTTTCTCCTCCTCCTCCTCCTCCGCCTTATCAACAACTTTCCCTGTCGCATCCCGAGCCCAGCTTTTAGGGCGGGGCGGGCGTTTCGCCTGAGACTTCTTCAGCATCTACGACCCTGAAGCCTTCACCATTGTCAAGAGTTTCACGGATTGAAGGCGGGTGGTTTTCAAAATGTGGCTCTCGCCTTAGCGCCGGAGTTTCACGGATTGAGGCCGGGTGGTTTTCTAAATGTGGCTCTCGCCGAAGCGCCGCGCACATTCGTTTTAAACAATTGCACGAGTTTCACGGATTGAGGGCGGGTCTTTTTCAAAATGTTGCTATCGCCTTAGCGCCGCGCACATTCGTTTTGAGACTTTGCAAGGGTTTCACCGATTGAGGGCGGTTCCTTTTCAAAATGTGGCTCTCGCCTTAGCGCCGCACGCATTCTTGTTGCACAATTGCAAGAGTTTTACGGGTTCTCATGATGGACGTACCAGAAATGGTGTTTTGGAAGGATTCACGGTTTTGAGGGCGCAACAGTTACGATGATTCGCGGAGTTGAGATCCCAGGAATGGCGTTCTGGCACGATCGAGGATCGTCAAGACGCAGCAGTCACGTTCATCCGTGGCGTTGGAATACCAAGAATCATGTTTTGACAAGCTTCAGGGTCTTCAAACGGTTGTCTTCCAACGAGGCAGGTCCCTCTGTGGAACTGAACCGTTGTAGGGACCTATGAAGAGGGAGCTTGGGAGGAGGGTTTATTCCAACATCGTTTGTGACTCTTGGGTTTACACTGGTCCTCCTCCTCCTCCTCCTCCTCCTCCTCCCTCCCGTGAATTTGCATCCCGTGTCTTCGAGCAGTTGTACATTTCAACACTATGAGTACTCTTCGCTTCTTTTTCCTGATCCCGTCCGGAAGATACCCGGCGCTATCCGCCGCGTGCTGTCATTTACGCAGGGTGTCAAGCGTTTTTGTTTAAGGAGTCTCATTTTGAATTCTTAGCGATCCTATTGCTTTCGGTGTTTCAAAATGGGCATCCCATTGAAGCGTGTGGCCTTACTTTCGGATCTGCGCTTTGCTCCCGTCGTTCAGAATGGCGCTCTGCCCCAGCGCGGGCCACTTTCTGGATCCGAGTCTTTCTTCATTGCTGTCGCCCCCCGCATTTCGCCTCCTCCGCCTTCCCCCGGTCCTCCTGTTCCTCCCGCTCCTTCCACTCCAGGTCTTGCTGCTGTTCGTCCTAGTCCTTTTCCTCTCGCTCATCCTCCTGCTCACCTGCCACACCTCCTCCTCCTCCTCCTCCTCCTCCTCCTCCTGTGCACGCAGCTCCCGTTTTTCCGATTGCGCATGACACGATGTGGTCTTTTGGCTGGAGATGCAGGGCGGCTATGACACGCGTCCGCGGATACAGAAACATCAGGGCAAAAGGGAAGGGATTGGAGGGATGGACAGAATGTCAGATAAGGCGCGAGCGCACCTAGCTTGCCCGTTCCTCTCTCTCCCTGCTCCTTCTTGCACCCGTGCCCGAGGCCCTCTCCATAGAGCTCCTGGCGGACCTCGTCATAGATGCCTGGCTGCCCTCCTTCGCCGACAGCGTTGTGGAGGAGCTGGCGGCCACCGTGGAGGAGCCAGCCCCCGCCGGGGGCAGGACAGGGAGCCGTGTCCCAACGGTGCTATGTGACAGTCAGGAGCCCGTCCTTCGTGTGTCGCGCCGCCAGTCCTGGCCCACCACGCTGTCGGTGCGACGCGCGAGCCCCTTCCCGACGATTCCCAGGGGGTCGGCGCCCCGCGCCTCGCCCAGCGCCCAGCCTCCCGCCCCGCGGGGCGGAGCGGGCCGCCGTCCGCTCGATGGGGCACGGCGTGTCGCCGGGGTCGCCGCCGCGGCACGCTGCGGAGGAGCTCCCGAGCGCCACGCGGAGCGGAGGGGAGAGGGACCTGGGCACGGACCTGTTTGCGGGGAGGGCGGCACCTGATTAGTTAGGAGGAGAAGGGGGGGGAGCGGGGGGAGGCGCAGCCGGGAGGCGCTCCGAGCTGGAAGCTGAGGCCAACGTGGATGAGCATGAGCACGTGACGAGTGGGCAACGACGTTTGGAATCTACAGGAAGCCGCGTGGGCCGTGCGTGACATGTTCCCCAACCAGAAGCTGTCGACCAAGCGCCGGTTCGTTGGGTTGAGGGGTATCGATTCCATGTGCCGGTGACTGGGTTGCCCGTCGCCCGTCGCCCGCTCTGCCTCCTCGTTCTGCCTTTGCATTGTGTTGCCTTTGCCGAGGTTTTCGTATCTCGGATCCGCTCCTCCTCTCACATGCATATGTGTGTAATGCACTACTAACAACGTGCGTATGATATTTGACGTGCATGCTTACAAAGTGCATGCATGTCCCCCCAGCTGCAGGTGAGAGGGCGCCTGGGCTGGGGCTGAGCGAACGCCACTCCCAACAGAAAGGATAACTGCAATCGCCCTCCAATGCGCAGAAACCCAGAGCGTTCGAAACGCTTGCGCGTCCGCGTGAGACCACGCGTACGACGTGGACCGGTCGCGGGCTGCAACGGGAAAAACGTCTGACCGCAGGCACTGTTCTGTCTCAAAGCGTGTGGGATGGTTCGCAAGCGACCAGCAATATACCGGCGCTTGGCATGTTGGGCGCTGGTCGAAACATCGGTGGATTTTCACCACGTTGGGGGCGCTGTGGTCGGCATTTTCGGGGAACGCGCCGATTTTGGCTAGACTTGGAACCCTGGCCCAGGTGAGCCCCAAATCTTCGTGATCCTCCGCGTTCGCCCGACCGCCGGCCCCAGTGTCACAGCTCGCACAGCCGACCCGCTTCCGCCGGGTTGCGCTCTTCGCACGTTTCGTGAGCCCACAGGGAAGTCGGTTCGGCTGCCCCCCGCACGTCTCACGGCCCCCGTGGGTCACCACCCACCAAACCAAAACCACCCCAACCCAACCCGAAGGCTCAGATTTAGCCTCGATTTCTAGTGGGGGGGGGGGTCGGGAAACATCGACAAAAACACGCGTGGAACCCTTACCCCCCCCAACCCATTTCTTCGGGTTGGGTTGGGGTGGTCTGGTAGGTAGTCAGTGGGGGGGTCCTGCCTTCGGCCTTAGTGGCACAGCTCGCGTGGCGCACCCGCCCCATGGGGCAGCTCCACCGGAGGCCCCAGCGGCAGGGCCCGCGTGGCGGCTCCGCGCCTCCTTCCTCCTCCTCCTCCTCCTCCTCCCTCCTCCTCCCTCCTCCTCCCTCCTCTCCTCCCTCCTCCTCTCCTCCTTCCTCCTCCTCCTCCTCCTCCTCCTCCTCCTCCTCCTCCTCCTCCTCCTCCTCCTCCCTCCTCCCCCGACCTTCTCGTGTCGTGTCGTGTCTCGCAGGGAGCTCCGCCCGCCTCTCGGCAGCTGCACCGCGCACCGCCGAGGGTGCCCAGGCGCCGCGCCCGCCCGCCTCCCCCGCCCGCACTGCCCCGGGGCTCCGTCCCCGTCGCGGCGCGCTGCTTTTTTCGCGGAGAGGGTCCTCTCCTGTGCTGCTCGCCGCTGCACAGGGCGGGGCCCCTCGCCGGGTTAGCTACCTATTTTCACCAGGCGTTTCTTTCAGAGAGCCACGTGCTGCCTCTTTGTCTCGTCTCTGCTGTGCTGCTCCGCTCTTGTGCCTCTCGCCGCCTGCTTGCCTTCCGCCGCCCCGTGTGTCGCCCCCCTGGGCTCTCGCTTTGGCGCTCGTTTTCCAGGTTTCTGGCTTCACGGCCGATCACAGCCTCGGGCTTCGGCTCGAGCGTCGCTTCCGCACTTCTTGGAACCTGCCAGTCTATGTGTGTGTGTGGATGCATGTAGGTACGTTTACCTACATGCATGCAACCATGAGTGTATGTAAGCGTGCAACCATGACATCTGTGTCTTCTGTAAGCGTGCAACCATGGGTGTATGTATGTAGGTATGTTTACCTACCGCATGCAGATGAATACGCATGCAGGTATGTGTAGTTGTAGGTTTGCGTGCATGTACGCATACATACACATATGTGTCTATACACACATATATTTATATATATATATATATATATATTCGGACTTGGGTATGTGCACGTGTATGTGTATGTGTACGTGTGCATGAACGTGTATGCGTACGTGTATGATTTTGTGTATGTGTATGTTCAGCTGTAGATGTATGTGCACGTGCATGTGCATGTGCATGTGCATATGCATGTGTATGTGTATGTCTATGTGTGTGTGTGTGTATGTGTATGTGTATGTGTATGCGTATGTGAATGTGCATGTGTGTATATGTGTATGTGTATGTGCACGTGTATGTGTATGTGTAAGTGTAGGTGCATGCTCATGCGTAGGTCTATGTGCATTTGTACGTGCGTGTCCGTGTCTGCGTATATGTATATGTACGTGCCTGTGTTTGTGTAGATGTACGTGAATGGGTATGCGCTGGTGCATGTGTATGTGCGTGTGTATCTGTAGGTGTAGGTTTAGGTGTATGTGTATGTGATTGTGCAGGTGTATATGCATGCGAATGCAATGTGGGCGTGTCGAAGGCTTCTTGAGGGGCCTCCTGGGGCCTCTGGAGCGCTTCTGGGGAGCTCTTGGGGGCGTCCACCTTTGAGAGAATGGTTCCCAAGGCCAGTTGGAGTTTCCCTTTCATTGGGGCCCCTTCTGAGACCCTCTTGGGGCCGTGTTGGGGTGCCTCTTGGCTGCCTCTTAGGCAGTCTTGGGGACTTCTAGGGCCCCGTCTTGGGGCCCTCTTGGGCCGTCTTTGGGCTTGGGGGTCTCGCGGGCCGTCTTCAGGGCACTGAAGCTCGAAAGCGTGAGCGCGCCGCAGTCTGTCGACAACGTATGTAAACTACGTGACCTTGGCCTCTTAGGGGCCCTCTTGGGGATCCTCCTGAGGCCCTCTGGGACATTTTGGCGGCCTCTACGTCACTCTGGAGGGCATCTTGGGCTTCCCGGTGCACTGCTGGGCCGACTCGGAGCCGTCCTGGACCGTCTCGGGGGCCTCGTGGAGCCCTCTTGGCCCGTCGTGGCGCCCTCGGGTCCTCCGTGGGAAAGCGAGGCGACGCGCCCCAGGAGTCCCGCGAGCAGCCCCGGGGAGCCTCGCAGTTGGGGCCCTGGGCCTCTGGGGCAGAGGATCACGGGCCTCGGTGCAGAGGACGCGACGGGACCCGGGGGCACTTCTCGCGGTGCCCACGGCAGGGTGCCGCAGCCTGCGATCAACGGCCCTGCCTCGCGGGAGGTCTCGGGCATGTGACTGTTCAGAGAATGCGCTATACAAATAAATGTGTATATACGTGTGTATATTTACCAATATCTACACATGAACATGTTCACGCACACACACACACACATATATATATATACATATATATATGTATATCGGTATAGACACACACAACTACACATATATATATACACACAAGTGGCACGTGTGTGCCCAGGCTCATACAACAAGCTGAAGGGGCGTTTGAAGCAGGAGTGACATGCAACAGCGAAGTCGCACTCGAGCGCAAGTGGGGTTGCCACACCTTGCGATGTGTGTACCAGGGCCCCCCAGGAAGCCTCAGGAGGCCCGACTTGGATACCAGAAGAGGCTCCAGGAGGCCCCAGGATTGTGAGTGTTGTGTGTGTGTGTGTGTGTGTGTGTGTGTGTGATGTGTGCTTTGTGTGGTGCGTGCTTTTTGTGTGTTGTCGGTGTTGTGTGTGTGTGTGTATGTTATGTTTGTCTAGCGTGTGATGTGTTGGGCGTGATTTGTGTCTCTGTGTGTGCATGTAGTTCTGAAGCCCCAGGAGGCCCCAGGCGGCCTCAGCACGCCCAGGAGAACTCCAGGAGGCTCCGAGGCGGGGTCTGGGGTACCAGAAGGTCCAGAAAGCCCCAGGAGGCCCCAGGAGGTTCCAGGAGGCCCCCAGAAGGCTCCGAGGAGGGGTCTGGGGCTCGATTTTGGGAGGATGTCTCAGGCGAAACCGCCATTCTCTGAGAATCGGGGTCAACATTACTGAAATTACCATGTGTTTTTGAAGGTTTTATGTTAACATGTTGAAATTCCCATGTGTTTTTGGACCCTGACGTCACGATCTGCGTGAGGGGTGCCACCGATTTTCAGAATTTCGAGGATGTCCCGAGCGAAACGGCCAGACAAATCGCGGACGACGTGCGCATTAATCGCCTCTGAGCTCTACTCCCTCGGAGAGGTGCGTATGAGAATATATATATATATATATATATATATATATATATATATATCTCTCTTCATAATACAAACATATCGATTGTAACGCTGGGGACCCTGGAAAAAACGCCCCCCCCACCCACACCTAACGAATTTGGCCCACCCCGGGCCTTTCGGGCAGCCCCAGACGACCTGGGAGGATCACGAGACCCCGAAGACGGCCCCAGAGGGTCCCCGACGTTCCGGCGCGTTCCCGAAACGGAAACGACACCAGAGAGCCCCAAGACGGTCGCTGACGACCCTAAAGATCGCTCCCAAACGTCCCAAGAGGCCTCCGAGAGCCCTCCCAAGAGGGCCCCAAGAGGCAAAATTCATTGATTTTCCGTTGGTTTGTGGGGGATTTGGGAGTTCTTCCCTTTACGGCTTCCCGACGCTCCATGACGGCCCACGAAGCCCCCAAGATCGCCCTAAGA